TTTTGTGTTGATGTCGGTCTAACTTAACGGCAAGCTTGCGAAACACAAGTTTTTCTCAAACACGATTTTTTCATGCGGAAAAAGAGCGGCAGATTTTTGGGTTTTCACATTTAATTAGCGGCAAAAAGCGGCAAATTTCCAAAACTTGTCTCTACCACTCAATTTTTCTCTACCGACATTTTTATTGATACTGTTTTGCTCACTTGATGTCAATTGAACAATGATATTTTTTTTCAAACGCGATATTTACCACTCACTCAATTTATCACTACCGACATTTTTAGTGATCTCGCTAACTTTACGTTAAATTAGCAAAACATTATTTTATTTTCGAACACGATTTTCTTATGAAAAGAAAGATAGCGGCAAATTTTTAGTTTCCACATCTAATTAGCGGCAGAAAAACGGCAAATTCCCATTCACTCAACTTATCACTACCGACATTTTTAGTGATATTGTCTCGCTAACTTGACGTCAAGTTAGCGAAACACATGATTTTTTTTTCAAAGTTGATTTTTTGTGAAAAAAAGAAGCAACAAATTTTTGGTTTTCACAAATAATTAGCGGCAAAAAAACGGCAAATTTCCATTCATTCAATTTTTCACTACCGACATTTTTAGTGATAATGTCTCGCTAACTTGACGTCAAGTTAGCGAAACAAATGATTTATTTTTTTCAAACTTGATTATTTATGCAAAAAAAAGAACCGGCAAATTTTTGGTTTACACAACTAGTTAGCGGCAAAAAAACGGCAAATTTTCATCTACCTAATTTTTTACTGCTGACATATTTAGTGATGTTGTCTCGCTATCTTGACGTCAAGTTAGCAAAACACGTAATTAAGAAAAAACCAAAAGAGCGGCAAATTTTTTAATTCCACATTTAATTAGCGGCAAAAAAGCGGCAAATTCTTGGCATAACGGAAAATCGATTTTCCGAAGTTGTCTCGCTAAGTTGATAGACATTAAATATCATGCAGGTACAATTTCCAGTTTATTAGCAAATAGCAATAATTATTTCATCCAAAACGAAGTTGAAAACTGCGGCTTCTTGAAAAATGGTAGGGCACCAGGCCCAGGAGAAATATATGGAGAACTGGATACAAGTGTGGGACCAATAAACTCTACAAACATTTAACAAAACTATTTCAAACATGCATAGATAAACATGAAGTACCGGAAGAGTGGAAAATAAGCTATTCAACAACAATATATAAGAAAGGACAGAAACAAATGCTAGAACCACCAAGGAATTGCAGTAACAAATACGCTGAGCAGAGTGTATGGAAAACTTATAAAAGCCAGAATAGAGAACGAGTACAGAGATAGCGAGGCAGAAGAACAGGCCGGTTTTAGAGCAGGAAGATCAACTGTAGACCATTTATTCAGTTTGGCCCAGGTAATGGAAAAGAAACTAGCGTATTACCAAGAACTCCATTTACTTTTTGTAGGTCTAAAGAAACCATATGACGCTGTACTGCTGAAAAGGCTTTGGGAAGCACTGGAAAAGACCAATATCAACTTAGAACTAATAAAGGCAGTAAAAACGCTCTATAGTGATGCAAAGAACAAGATTAAACAGGGAAACATAATCAGTAAGGCTTTATAGCAACTAAAGGACTTAAACAAGGATGCTGCATATCACCATCAGTTTTTAAAATATACTTAGAACAAGCGCTTAAGGGGTGGAAAAACAAATGCAGACACATGGGAATACCGCTCGATGAATACAATTTATATACTTTAAGCTTTGCAGATGATCGAGTATTAATTGCACAGGACTATGATTACCTAGAGTACATGACACAAAAATTGATAGAGGAATACGAGAAATGGGGTTTGGAAGTAACTCTTACGAAAACAGAATATATGACTATAGGAGGTGAACAACGAACTCTGAAATTGAATAACGGACAAGAAATAAAATAATGTACTGAATACAAATATTTGGGCATGAAAATCTCACATGAGGGAACCCTAGACGAAGCAATTAAAGATCGGAATATACAAGGACGCAAGGCAATATCCCTACTAAATGGTGTACTGTGGGATCAAAATATCAACAAAACTAACAAAACGAGAATATACACCATAGTCAAAAGCATAGTCACGTATAGTTCAGAAGTCTGGCCACTAAAGATCAGAACCGCAAAAATACTGGAAGCAACTAAAATGGGCTTTTGGAGGAGATCGGCAGGCAAGTCAAAAATAGAAAGGATAACAAATCTGAGAATTAGAGAGATTATGGACGTAAAACACACAATAGTAGATGATATAAAGGACAAACAGCTGATTTGGTTCGGACATGTACAAAGAATGGCAGATACAAGAAGACCCAAGCAAATAATTGAGTGGAAGCCAGGGGGAAGAAGAAGACGCGGCAGACCAAGAAGAAGCTGGAGAAGTGTAGACGAGGAAATGAAAGATAGAGTCTTAGAAGAGGATGCCTGGATTGACAGAGATGGTTGGAGATCGGGAATCGGAAGACGCAGAACGTTATAAACCGATAATTATATATATTTCATCAAAAAAAAAACGAATTAATAAACAATTTGTGTTGTTTATTATACTTTGAAACAATATTATTCATTACAGAGAAAAACAATTTTATCCCAATTATTATAGTTTTACTAAATAAACCCAAGCGACTAGTAAACATTCAAAGTATAATATGTATAGTTTTTTTTTTGCTGTGTCATTGACGAAGGCATAATTATATAAAAAATGCTACTTTTAATATATATGTAAACGTAGGTTATTAATTAATTATTTTTTACAAAAACATCATGTGATATTAAGTCACATGCAAACAAAATTACCCATACTAATTAATTAGCAGGAAGCCAACGTAAATATTTGAATAACAAATAATAAATATTTTAAAAAAAGCCATGATAGTTATCAACAGGCATATTCAATATTTCTTTAAGTTAAGGTAATTTGTTTAAATTAGCGCTCAACAAAACGAATAGGTATGTGTCCTGGATTATATTTTATGTTTATTTTTGAAAGAATCATGTGAGTTGAAGCTAAAAATAATTTTGATAACTAACCAAGTAAACAAATGTAGTTGGGTAAGGACAAGGACAAAAAGAAAAACAAGATACCCTATTACGTCTTATGAATATCTTTATGCATAGAACGGTTACGATTATGTCATAAAGAAAAAATAAAATATACTGACAGCATTTGATTTCTTAATATTAAGATAACAATCAGCTAATATAAATAATAATTTGGCATTTTCATACTTGCCAACATAAAACCGAATATGAAGAGCTTTCCCACTAGCCCAGTTGTTGGTGGCATCCACTTATATTGATAATATTGATATTATTTGGGGTCAATGTTATACTGTCAAGTGTGAACACAACAAGACAAGAAAGTTTATGTTGATGAGTTTTGGACCAAAATTACCGAGAAAATTACCCATTATCTTCAAGACGTTGAAAATGGCGTGAACAAGTAGGTAAATGTGATATTATTATTTTCAAAATCAAGATTTGAAATATAAGGCTACTTCTTTGCCAACTAATCACATTCCCCATGAAAATCAATTATATTATTGATTACTCAATCAATTCGGAATATCATTATGCAAAAATTTGAAATCTGGAATTAACTAGAAACTTATCAAATGGCTTGGAGGGCCACTTTGACCTAATCTTGTGACTCAGATTTTTGAAAGATAAAACGCGAAAGCATGTGATTCTCTTATAAATAGAAAATTGTTATCAATGATTATTGACCTGCACCATCAGAACTCACGAGTTTGATAAAAACTGTCAAGAACATAAAAAGGTCAGTACTTAGGTAACTGGCATGAAATCAAGGATAAACCTGGTCAAGTTTTATCAATTTTTTTTTTTAAATCTAGGAAAAATTTTAAAATATACCAATTTAGAGAGCCTAGAAAATATCAAGAAAAACGTTGACAAGTGGAATATACTTATTATTTTTATATTGAATAGTTTAGTTGTAAAAATCATTTCAATTTTAAATTGAAAAAACAATGGAAAATACATAGAATTAAGCAATAATTATTAGTGATTCAAGTTCCTATGATGAGAAAAAAAATTTGTTTATTATACTGTATTTTTTCCTAAGATAGACACCACATTGGCAATGTTGAAAACATAAACAATGCAGCATATTGGTCGCAAAATGCTTTGCTTGATGCCTTGTATAGGTAAGCAGTCAACGAAGGTATCGTTTCACAGGGGTTTTACGCTGAATCTCATGAAAATATTGTAACAGCTTTCCTTGGGTTCGTCCAACAACTATTTCTTGATTTATATATTATTTAATGGAACGTTTAAGTAATGTAATATTTTTTTTATTACAATTGTACAACATACATGATAAAACTGTTTCCAACCCTGTAAAAGGATACCCGAGAGGATACCTCACCTGTAGGGATACAGCAACATGTTTATGTTTCCTTATTTCCACATCTATTTTGGGAAAAAAAATAGAGTATAGGTACCTAAATCAATTAATGTCAAAATGTTATTTTTGATTGAACTTTTCTGTAACAATTTCTGTAGAAGAAGATTCTGGAATATTCTATACTAAATGCTATAATCAGAAAATGTGTTCATTGTTTGATTCATTGGCATTTTAGGAAAAAAGCTACCTATGCTTTTAAAGGTTCAACCATTAGAGCTAGTTTTGTTTTAATTAAAGTTTGGAAAAGTAAAGCAAGCTGCTGAACTGTATTATCACCAGAATGACACTATGTTAACTTTATCATCCAAATATGTTGTACCAGGCCCATTAATACTTATTAGGTAGCCAATTAAGCAAAAGAAAAGAAACTTGCACAACATAGCAAAGCTTAAAGATAAGTCTTTAAGTATCTACAAATATTCGAACCATGTAATGAAATATTTGGTAATAATTTTAATTTCTAAACACAAATTAAATTTATTGATGTTTATATTATGTATATTATTCATAGGTGCGTTTAAAAAGAAAAGTCAACTTAAGTTAAATACACACCTGATAGGTTCATCGTCATGACAATTTTGTTGTACAATTTTAAGTCCTGAAAACAGTTTATTGAAAAGAGCCATACCATCGACCCTGCACTATTCACATTCATGTAGAGGTTGAATCAGCACGAGTCAAGTCTGATTCGATGCCAGCAGTGAAAACAATAAATAAAAATCACGTGCAGTCGAGTCATATGATACTTTGCCATCTCTCTCCTGCGAGATCATTAGGTCAGCCTCGTTTCGACTCGGTAGTGAGTTAGTGTGTGGATGTGGAAGGCGTGGGGTGTACCTACGCAAAAAAAAATGTGTAGCGATTGGGTCCGAGGTCAAGCGGACGTGTCCTACGTTAACTTTACTCAAATTATTAAGTATTTAGATTGGATGACATGTTTGAATTGCCGTTACTTACAATGGGTAACAATTATGTTGGTTTTCCATCACGATGCACTGTGATTCTAATACAAAAGAATCTAATGTGTTTGAATTGAACTTGAACAATAAATTAAAACTATTTTGGTGGTGTTTTAATTGGTAGAAACATTATTAATTAAACATCTAATAATTTATGATTTGAATAAAAACAAAACAACAACAAAGTCGACTATTTGGCATATTGACATAATTATTGACAATAGAATAGGAGGGCGATTTTGGTATCCGCACTGGTAAGCGAACTTTTCCAGTTTCTGCTCTGGAGTGTGATGCACTTGAACTGTTCTGCACGAAATGGCACTAGAACGGGCTTACGTCGTAGTTCTATTCAGGGGCGAGTTCAGAATTAATCGCTCCATTTTTCGTTGTAACGTGTAATAGGCTCGTTCAGTGAGGTTTCATTAACCACGTTTTTTGATATTTTTATGGAGTATTACTCACATATAGCACACAAAAAACAATTCAGCGCAATTGGATAAATATTAAAAAAGTTATGCGGCTTTGAATAATAAAACATTATGCCTCAGAAATTCATCGCTTAGGCCCAGTTGTACAATCTCAGTTCAAAACAAAGTTCAACTGAACTCGACTGGTACTTGAGCTTTCCCATTTAAAATACATTGCTGCCAGCTATTAATCAAATTCTATCATTTTTGACAGCAATGCATTTCAAATGGGGAAGTTCAAGTACCAGTCGAGTTCAGCTGAACTCTGTTTTCAACCAAGATTATACAACTGGGCCTTAGAGATTGTATGACGTCATCTCTCGAGTCAAGACGGGCTAAAGGCCGTCACACGACCAACGTGAGAGATGCAGTGACGTCACCGTGTGTTTCAAAACTTTCCAATTTGGAGCTTTTTGATAATTTATTTAAATATGAACAAGGGCTCGGAAAATTATGAAATTTTGCACAACTGCTAAACTCAATACGCTCTTTTAGAATATGTAATAAAAAAAATATGCTGTACGAGCCTATTTTTCTCGCGTTTCGAAGTTTTGAAAATTTTTCAAAACTAGTTTGAAACAGTTTCCCAATGACGTCATAACTTCATGGCGCGAGAAAATGTTTCAAAAGCATGGATTGGATTGTATTTCGGAGCAGTTTGAACCAATTTTGAGTGACGTCATGGGTTCATCGCGAGAATATACTATTTCAAACCTGTTTTGAACCAGTTTCAAAAAAGTGAATGCGAGAAAACAACTGATTTGTTCTTCAACAATACAATTTGGCTACACTGCAACCCACAAGCTGCGCTCATTTCATTTTTTAATACAAGCCGTGTTCGTTTCGTTTGTCATGTCCTTTTTCCGCAAAAAGTCTATATTTTTTTAGCCCTATTCCAACCGACATGAGAACTGATCTACACTTTATTTTTTCCCAAGATAGATTTTGACATTGAAAACTTTGAAACATAAACAATAACGCTTGACCCTGATTGATCGCAAAATGAGGTGTTTCTGCAGGTTGACATCAGTTTAACAGTAGCCACCAATAAGCGGCATTAGCGGCATTGTTTATGTTTCAAAGTTGACAATGCCAAAATCTATCTTGGAAAAAAATAAACCATAGAACGGTAATTTCCAGTCGATGATCATTCAATTGTCAAGTAGGATAAACGTTCCGTTCAACATAATATGGAAAAATGGGTGGGCAACTGGAAATTACTGTTCTGGAACGGTTCTCATGTCGGCTGGAATCGGTTGGAACAGAACTTGATCTTCCGAAAGTAAGGCTGGCAACACTGCTCAGTCGTAAGCAACCCAACCTCAAATTTTGAGCTTTGGCACTTTTGGCATTGGCATTTTGCATTTAGTTGTCTATCGCCATATTAATTGGATATTTTTGCATTTTCCTTTGAATTTTTGTGAAATTCACAAATACAAGCACTGAGGAAATGTCTGAATTATCGTAAGCAATTTTTCATATTCTTCAAAATTAGATTTGAAATTAGAATAGATATTCCAGGCCCCAGCCAGCATTGTCTTGTACAGTAGTGCTGTGGCTACTGCCTAAAGGGCTGCATTATTCAAGCCTTTATCTCTATACTGGCGTGTCTTGAAGTTATATCAGACCAGCTGTAGCTAACTATAGAGCAGCCTCAAATTTGCATTGCCACAGCACCTCACAAGGCATGACTTATCCAGATCAGTTTTTGAAGAGGATTAAAATGCAAGCAAGCTGAGAGGTGTTTCACTCATGCAGTATAGGTGTACAAATTTCATACATTCATGTAGGTATATGCAGTCTATACATTCTTCTGCAGTCCATCTATTCTCCTGCAGTCAACGAAATGCATGGACTCGTGCAGTCATGATACAGTCGCATGCAGTCATAATACATATACACTCGCGAAAAATTGTAAGCAGTTGCTGCGAGTTGAGCCTGCAATCTTGTTAGATATTGATCAAAAGTCAATGCAGTCAACTATCATCTTTGATGCAATTATTGCAGTCAAATACAATAGGTGTACAAAATGTAGTGGGTGAAACACCCCTTGAAGTAAGTGAATTCTCAAGGGTTGAACCAAGTGTTTATTATATCATAACTACTTTAGGTTTATTCCACACAGCTGATCCCGCTCAATTGTAGATTGATTTTATTAATTCATATATGTATTTGTCTTACAAACATACCTAAGACTAAATTTTGACTTAAGCTTTAAGTAAATATCTGCATGAAGTAACCAAATAAAGCAACTAACAAAAGAGAAAGAAAACAACAGATATAAGTACCATAATTGAGACCAACAAACCCCTAAAAAAGAAAGATAATTTATAAGTTAAACTGTAATTTATTGATTACCACACAAATATATAAGATTGAATGAATAAATAAGCTAGTTCAAGAGATTATGTTTTTTATCTGTGCTGTGGTCGAGGGTGTGGTATAATTTTAGTTTTAATTTAAACATCTTCACAGTACCTACCTACCATTAGATTCCAATTCACTAATAGTAAGTAGGTATTAATTGATTGTACAAGGTATTCCTTACAACAAGGTCTACACAAGGGCTTATTTCTGACCTTCCCTGTATTTTTGAAAACATTCAAAACAATCAACTGGAATGTATTTTATTGCAAATTTCCAAAGAAATATATCTGTAAATACAATTTGAAGAAAATAGTCTTCAACATGACCAAAAAAAAAAAAATTGAATACCTTATTTTTCAATTTAGGTGTTCTATGTAACCCCCGTTGTTTTCAAAACAACAACGATATCCTCTTTAAAGCCTATCTAAAACTTGCTGTTATAATATGTCATGTTCCTGATTAATTTGATTTATTTCAGTAACTATTTTTTCCATCACTTCTTCAATATTTTGGTTTCTTTGTTAGTATGCCAGATTCTTTAGATGACTCCAAAGAAATGTATCCAAAAGTTAGAGGTCAGGGTTATTGGGCGGCTAAAAAATTACGCTATTACGTCCAATACATTCAGTATGGTGTTGGCTTAAAAATTGAATGAGATCATGATTCATGCAAGGCATGCGGAGGAGCTCCATCTTGTTCTTCTAAAAGTTATTCATCTAAAAAAAAAGTATTTTGTTGTGAAGCAATATAAGATATTGTTGTCCATTTAGTTAACCGGTTTAAAAAAATATTGGACCCAAAATTATATTATTGAAGATACCACACCAAACATGAATCGAACACCTTCCTTGAAATTTGATGGTTTGAAATTTTCTTTAGTTTTCTACAGCCCAGTGATAAATTTTATGTTGATCACATAAGCCCGCTTCTGTGCCTTTTGCATAAGCTTTGATATCTTTGTCATCATGGAATGTTTAATGTATGCTGTTTAATTTATTTTTATTTATTTATTTATTTATTTGCAGTAGTAAATACATTTTTAGTAAATACAATAATACTGATTTAACATAATAAATAAGAATATATCTTAACTAGTTAAAGTAAAACAAGATTAAAATAAATTCCCTCACTACTGCCAATTTTTCGGTGCACTATGGTATTTAGAATACTGTGTGTGCACCCTTTAAGGGGATTGAATGCGCCTCAATGCCAAAATATTTTTTCCTGCGCGAAGCACCTAACGCAGTCTATTATTGTATTCTTCCTCCCCTATTAATACTTCTTAGTGGGAATGAGATGAATGAAACAAGGAATGCATTGCGTTCTTAATTTCAACGTAACTTTTTAGCAGTTGAAGTTATATCAAATTTCTTTTTTGCATTCGATTTATATTATAGGGAGGAATGGCCCTATCTTTTTAGAAATCCGGTAATAGAAACGAGTTCTCGAAAAATTACAAAAATGTAATTCAAACTGGAAAAAAACGAGAAAATTAATCAATTTATGGTGTCTTTTTTAATTAGCGCCAATCTTATGTGTGTTAGCAATACAATAGCACAAACCAGAATCCCAAAAATTATCTAGTTTTTTTGTAGAAATTAAATTAATTCTTCTTGTCATTTTGCCTGTCTCTGTTATACCCGCAGCAAACCCTATGGCTCTTTCCTCCGCCTGTTTTGCGATAAATTTTAAATCGCTATCATGAAGGATCCAGTGCCAACCGGCCCAACAGTAGCCCAATGCAATAATCGCGATGAACCTCGCATCTTTATTAGTATTAACTTGTTGGGTAGTCCTATAGTTCGACGTGCGTTACAATATATTTTAAACGGCGCATTCAATACCCTTAACAAAACCATGTTATCATAATGAGGTATATGTGGAGAAAAGTTTAACCACCACCCTCGCCACCTCCTAATCAAAAAATAAGAAAGAAAAACAAACAAAAAAATTAAACTAAAATCAATAGAGAAGCAAAAAACCAAACCTAAAAAACCAACAAAAAAAATAAGAGAGAAGCAAAAACAACAATAAACAATAAACTTTTTTTTTAAAATAAACAAAAAACAAAATTATTTTCCAATGAGTTAGGTATTTTCCAGAATCCACTTCTTTATGTCATCCTTGCATTCATAGTATGGTTTTGACCTAATAGACAGAGGTAAACTATTAAATACTTTTGGTCCTAGACAATATATGTGATTTTGGCACACAGCATGTTTGGGGTTTTGCAGTGCAACACAATTCTGAGCTGGGATATCAAATTCAAATTAATTTCAATAAACCAAAATATCACCAACAAAAATAGTTAATGCTGAGGCAGCTACAGGCTCGGCTACAGGAATATCTTGAGACAACTTGAAGAGGATAAAAAAACCCTACAAAATAAGCTTATTTTTATTTTTATTATTTATTTAATTCAAGATAATGCAATTTGAAGTTTGTTCATTTGGCAAACTCATATGGAACACTTGCATAAAGTTATGAAAACTAAGCAAGTTTAGATCTTCAATTAAAGTCTATTTAGCTAAAGTAACTTTTAATTCCCTATTATGAAATTGGCCGTTAGCCCTTTGAAATTGAGAAATCTGATATACACAGGGTGTGCTATTTACCAAATTCATGTCTCCTATGGCCACACCTTTTTGAACCATTCTGTTTTTTCAAAAATCATTTTATGTTCATCTATTTTATCACTCTATCTTTAACGTAAACATTTTTTTTTTAAATTTTGAATACCAAAGGAAATTGGTATGGTTATATTTAGGTACTTACTCTCTTGAATGTCCAGAGTTATTCAAAATCTCGTTTAAAATACTCTAATACAGTTTTTAGAATATTCGCATATTATCAGCTTGAGCAGAAATTGAATTGTAGCAAGCAAGTATGTAGTCAGATTCTTTGATAAAACCCCGGATAAAACTGTACCTACTCTATAAATGGGATTGAAAGTTTCAACTCACCAATAAATATTTTGCAGTCTCGACAAACTATTGACTGATGAAGAAGAAGAACGGGAAATTTTGTCTGAAATTGGCGAGGAGGATGAGGATGCCCTCCTACAAGACGACGAAGATGTCCTTAGTTTGGAAAAGGAACTTGGAGATTCTATGGAGACAGGTACCTATTATTTAAATGTTAGTTGGTTTTGTACTTAAGTTGAATTTAATTATTTAGAATCTAGCAATAAGCAGGCAGATGCTGAAGAACAAAAATCTTCTAGGAAAGATAAATTTGCCACGGAAAGGAAAATAATCACTGCTCCAGAATCAGAGAATAATTGTAAGTATGATATTTTTTACCTAAAAACGACTTTTTTGTTTTCTGATACCTATTTGATTTGATACATAAAGTGATCAGACCCCTATAACCAACCTAGCACCTACTTGTTTGAGCCAGTCAAAATATCATCAATATAGGAAGTTAATTTGAACTGCTGAACTACACAATACCAAAAATATTGAAACAAAAAAAACAGTTTTTTATGAACCTCATAAATATAATATAGAATGTATCTTCGACATTTACTATCTACTGAATAAAATCGTTTCTATTATTAGGTAATAATATAAATTTTTCAGTCATTGATAATCTGAATACGAACAAATTCAGAAGACCACTAAACAACAGAATCAATCGGGGCAGGGGCATCATGAGACCACAACAATATCACAACCAAGTAAATGGCAGACAATTTAGGCACTTCAATCAGCAAGGCCCACCAGGTAGAAACAAAACGGTTTTGATTAATCCTAGATTCCAAGGAGTAGTACATTGGAACAATAATGGTATGTTATATATACAGGGTGTCCCACGGTGGATGGCGTATTAGACGTTTATGGAGAACTAAAAAGCGGATCATTTTGAAAATTTGGCAACCGGTATAAATGACCATAATCTACACTTTAAAAATATTTTTGTTTATGCGGTGTTGCCGCTTCTACCCTAAACCAGTGGCAACAGCGCTATTTTAAATGGAACACCCTGTATCTGATTACATATTTGGATTTTACGTAAAATTCTGAGCAGATTTCATGTGATATACCCTATACCTAATTTCAACTGTTTTGGAATTATTGACAGTTGAAAATCGACTTTTTGCAACTTTGACAGGCTGTAAAACCTGAACGGTTAATTTTAGAGAAAAACCGATTTTACATTCCTATCTTAGATTTTTATAAACTATCATTTGATACCAACTTCAAATTTAATCCATGATTAAAAATTCCAAATAAATTTAATCTCCGGGTAAATTCAAAGTTGGTGTCAAATGATAGTTCATGAAAATGTAAGATAGGAATGTGAAATTGGTTTTTCTCTTAAATTAACCGTTCAGGTTTTACAGCCTGTCAAAGTTGCAAAAAGTCAATTTTCAACTGTCAATAATTCCAAAACAGTTGAACTTAGGTATAGGGTATATCACATGAAATCTGCTCAGAATTTTACGTAGAATCCAAATATGTAATCACATACAGGGTGTTCCATTTAAAATAGCGCTGTTGCTACTGGTTTAGAGTAGAAGCGGCAACACCGCATAAACAAAAATATTTTTAAAGTGTAGATTATGGCCGTTTATCCCGGTTGCCAAATTTTCAAAATGATCCGCTTTTTAGTTCTCCATAAACGTCTAATACGCCATCCACCGTGGGACACCCTGTATATATATAATAAAGCTGAGTTTTTTTCTACTCATGAATACTTCTAGCTCGCCTTGCATGGGACGCTCAACAACACCAACAACGAAATCCCAACAGTAATTGGAGCAACGGTCCTCATGCTGACTCAATGGGCCCTCCTGTTTCTTACCAACATCAGAATTGGCAAATGCAAGGGCAACCGCCTCAGTTTCAACCTCCTAGGCAGTTCCAGCCTCCTCTTCAAATGCAGGGTCCTAATCCGCCCATGGGTCATCAGCCATTTCAGCATAATATGCCACCGTATCAACAGCAACAGCCACCGCAGTTTATGCATCAACCAATGCAGAATGGAATGCAACAGGTAAAATTTTTCGAAAATAATTAGCTGTGTATGTGTTTTTCATAATGAAATTGGAATATGCAAGGAAAATTGGTCTATTTGATTGTTTTTTCAGGTTATTTCAAAGGTTATTTTATTTATTAGTAGGGTGGTGATAGTTTTGATTATTCTGAACAGAAAACTCTCACTAGAGCTTAGTGAACTATTTACCGATTTGTTACAAATTAGAGTCAGTTAAAAAATTTGAACAAACCTATACATGTACATGTAAGCTTCAAATAATAGAGTGTTTAGCTCGCCTCTATAAGAAATTTCACTCAAATAAAAACATGACAATATTCAGAGAAAAAAAATATTTTTTTTTTTTAGACTTGTGATTTTAGTCTAAACTGTCAGATTTGATTTATAATACATTAAAATAAACATTTTTTTAATAGCAGTCTAGTCTGGGGATGGGGCCCCCACAATACTGGGATGGCCAAAATTATGTGCCTCCAATGCATCAGGTATATATATTTATGGCTTCTAGCTTTTACTAAACCAGAAACGTTTTCTTGTGATGGACTGGTTGAACCAGGTTCAACTTGGTTTAAATCTTTAAATTCTCTCATTGATCAAATGGTGCCACGTCCAACCTGGTTCAAAAAAGTCCAAAGCGAATTCTCTGTTTGGTTTTGAAATGGACGCATGCTCTTTTGCTGTTGTTTTTTTTTTGTTTCGGCTTAGCCTCTTTTTATTGACAAATCGAATTGGCTCAGACCAAGAATTTACAGGATGGCTAAGTTCATCGCATTTGTCGCATGTCACCTCTAAAGCCAGAGTCTCATGCATCCGTTTTCCGACGAAAGATGTCCAAAAACCCCTCTATTCTGACATAATCGTATGAAAATATGTCAAAATAGAAGGTTTTTCGGACATCTTTCGTCGGAAAACGGATGCATGAGACTCCGGCTTACGTCTGTATAGACTCGATGTTGCCAGCTGCAGAAAATTTTCCTCTTCTTAGGCAATTTTTTAGTTGCTAAAGAGAAAGGGAAACTCGTGAAATTAGACTAAAAAGCTAGATTTAGCATTCAACTTGAACTTCTACATTTACATTTATTTATCTGAGTCAACATCCTAAATTAACTACTGCTACTGCTTATTTTTTTTTTTTGGGGTAAGAATGGAATTTTCAAAGCACTGTTAGGGTATCCTAGACCAGTTCTGCACAGTGTTTTGTCAAACCATTAAATGCTTAACAAATGTACAGTAAATAGAAGTATGCCATCATTATCTCTGTTTATAATCGTTGGGTTTTAACCATTAATTTTATGGTGTGTGTTTAATATTAAATCCTTTCCTACTGCTATTTTATGTCACTTTCAGTTACTCTCAAAAAAGTTAGTTACCCTTACTTTTTCTTTTCTCTCTAGGGCCCCAATCAGCAACATATGCCTTACCAGCAGCAAAACTTCTATGAGCATCAGCCAGACATGATGAACACCAGTCAGCCACCTCCACAAATTGAATATCCCAATTTTCAGTACAACAATCAACATTTTAATAATCAGGCCCAGGGCCCTCCCCCAATGCAACACCCTCCGCCAATGCAACATCCACGGCAAATGCAACATCCTCCGCAAATGCAGCACCCTCAAAATAATCAAAATGTTTTCGTGAAAAACTTCAATAACGGACAAAAACGGGAGTTGTTTACTAAACGAAAGGCAAGTAGCGCCTCAATAGAAATTAATATTTTTACAGAAGAGTACAGAAGAAAAACTTAGTCTTCTCAACTCCAATAGCGGAGGAATAAGTATTTCTTCCTCTACATAAGAAATGTATATTTCTCAACTGATTTTTTTTTTGTTCTGTAGGGCACTCCAAATAATTTTCCAATACAAAAGAAGCGAATTATTCAGGATCGTTTGGGCATCAACAATCAATCAAAAACTATTACCAATAACAGAGATAATCTTCCATCTGTCATAAAAAAAGTGAGGGTCACTAATGTAACTACATTAAAAATTGTAAGTTTTTTTTTTAATAATATGTATAATAGTTTTGAGTTAACTTTTATATTTAAGGAGGATGACCAAGCAACGCGTGACCTAAGGATGAAAATCGAAGAGCAAAAGAAAGCAAGGGAGCAACTGTGCAAGTGGAAGGAATTACGAAGGTTGCAAAATTTGCAAGATCAGCAACAATCGCCAGTTAGACAGGTGCAGGGACGGCAACTCCATGGAAGAGGACGGGTGAGAACACTGTGGTCAATACTGTGATTTTAATATAAAAAAATATTAATTCTTTTTTAGGGTGGTCATCATCAGCAGCATAATCGTATTGTGCTACAACATCAGCAAGGACCAGCTAAAACGCGCCAGCCGGTATTACAACAAATTAGACAAATAGATGATCAATCTATTAAACAACTGACAGCTCGTCGAGTGGTAACTGCCGGACAGATCCCGCTCAAAATCGAGGAACCAGAGATCCAATTAAACAGTACGTTTTTGCAGGGCCGTAAAGTCCTAGCGAAGGACGATTCGCTAACGAATACTCGAACGGTGGTGATTAAAAATCTCGCCACTAGTACAGGAGACAAAAAAGTTATTCAGATTTGTAGGAATATCGGGGAAGTGCAGGTAAGAAAAAATCTTAATCGGTCAAGAGTCTCAAAAAATATCAATCAGCCCAGTGGCCCAAGAAAAATTGTTAGGTTTTCTAGGTAGATGTATATCATAATGTCAATTGGATATTGTTGTGGCAATGGTTTGAGGTTTAACTAAAATATATATATTTTTTTAAAACAAATTTTGTTTTTTCATCTAAGAAATTCTGAGTGACTTCATTCCATATTGCATTTGTTCAATTAATTTTTGCTCAACATTTTTCTTTGTCAAGTCATTATGTTATCAGATAGTAGCAACCAAATGCTCTTCTCTATTAAATAATAGAACACAAGGTATAATATGTTTCTACATATTTATAACGTAATTTACAGATTTAGGAAGTCTCTTCTCATAATCAAGATAACTATATTTTGGACAGATTTACCTGATTTTTTATCGTTATGTGTTCATCTAACACTTAACATTGAGCTTAACAAGCATATAGTTCTTGGATTTATTTTTATTTTATTTTTTCAAAGGGGACTAATTCCAGTATTGTTCATAAGAAGTAATGTTGAGCAACAACAAAAACAAAGTTCTATTATTGTTTTTCACACTGTTAATTTACCACCAACTGACTAAACACACTGACTTTTTCTCCCAGTGTTGACTCGATTTTGTAGCGCGTCGTTATCACCGAAGAACTAGGATTAAAGGGGGTGTGACCCAAAAATGAAAGTTTTAGTGCAAAAAAATCTAAAAATAAATATTCAAACCGCATCTTGCTACAGTGGTCCGTTTTCGAGTTAAGGCGGTTTAAAGTTACAACTAGGCGTTTGTGACGTCACACTGAATTTTCAGGGACAGTATTAACATGTATATGAGAATTCTCTTAGACCGAATTGCAACCACTCAAAGTATAGGGTACGGTTCACTGACGACTGAACCACCAGAAGACTGCGATTTCGGCGGTTGTGACATCATAATTTCTTGCATAATTGATCTTTACAGGAAATTTTCTCGGAGACTATTTTGAATACAGGACTGCGGTTTTCATGAGAGATCTTAGAATTTTTTTCTTGATTTAAGTAGCTTAAGTTGTTTTTTAGGGTCACACCCCCTTTAAGTTATAGGGTTGATTGACCTTCATTGATCTTACTTATGGGTTCCTTATGTACTCTTTCAATTTCACTGTAATTTTCTAAATAATTCTCATCTATCGGGGGTTTGATCAATAAGTACAATATACGGTTCAAGGGCTATCTCTGTTATTTCAAAGAAACAGAAAATTCCTATCAAAGTACTTATCTCTGGGACAAGTGTGTCTAAAATTTCCCCAACTGAGGGAAAAGGTAGATGTGGCAATGTCGAACTTTGCATGATTTATACCACTTTGTAATTTCATTACATTGTGTTCCTAGTAAAATATATATTATAATATTGTTGGAGTCTCAAGTTCTTCTACATAAAAAAACTTCATTCCTTCAAGATATTTAAGATTTTACCAATTCCCCATTGCCAGAACAATATCTTTAATAATTAAATTTATATGTATGTTCTTGAATTTTAGCTTTAATTATGTATCCAAAATATGCCTTAGAGTTTCCTATAGTTATTACAAGCCAAGCTATTTTCTACTAGTTTAAAATTGATGTAGGGTTGAACGCACGAAAAGTTGTTCAGCATGAGATCAAATAGTTGTGCGTTGGACTATACTTTAATTGTCAAAAGACTGCTAACACTACATAGGACTTTTGTTGGAATTTATTTTGTTTTGAGTAGTTTAAGTCTCTATCCCGCTCTTTACATATCTCCTTTTATTTATGACAAGAAATATTTGTTGATTTTTCATTTGTTGAATATTTTTTTCGTTCTAAGTAAAGTACTAGAGATAGAAATTATTATTTTTTTTCCATAAAGATACACTTATTAAATTGAATTGATGTAGGTACTAAGCAACAAAAACCTATTTTTAAGTTTCAGAATTCAGATTCTTATTTCCAGTAATTTTTATATTTTCGCTGAGTGAAAAACCTTCCGTTATGTATTTGCTGGTTCCTAAACTTCGTTTTTTCTAGGCTATTTGTGTCAAATATAATATGTATATATTTGCTTTAGAAAGTTTACATGCTATTATTAGGTGTCGCAAAAAAATCACACAATAATTTAATAAACAAACTGTAAAGCTGTTGAACTTTCAATGACTACGTTTATTTCATGCGTTGTATCCAGATACTAAGTGGATTGGATTGATAATGGGGATTAATAATCCTGAAATTAACACCCAGGTTTGAAGAGTTCATCTGGATCGGAGTACCTAATTCAATCCTCCAAATTTGTAGGACTGGACTTAAAATGGATTATCTGAAATGTGAAATAAACACCTTAATCTTGGATTTAAGAAAATTGTTGCTAACTTCAAGAAAAAATCACATTTGTTACTTGTAATTTTTTTGAGGATTGATGTTATTTGGATATTTTTTGATGAAAAACTGGTCTGAGAAAAGAAAATGTTTACCTTTTAATTGTTAATTAAAACTATTTGCCTTCAGGCGGTAGACACAACCGACAAGACTCAAGAAAAGAATTAACACTAATCTAAATCCATCGCATAGTTGTGAAATAAACGAATATGGATTAATAATCCTTAATCCACTTAGTATCCGGATACAACACGTGAAATAAATGTTACTGTAGTCAATATGTGATAAAAAAATTCAAAACTCGCATGAATACATAATAAACACAAAATAAGCATTAACAACATTGAGCAATATGATATTATGTTTTTGGATAGGGGACCAATTATTATTATTTCTTGCCCAATCAACTTTGGTCTTCTTTGCCTCTGTACGTCATGGAACTCGTTCTAGTAAAAACATGGCAATTTTACGTAATTATGTTATTCAAATTTCAGGATTAAATTGCCCACAAGCCTACAATTTTCGCTAATGATAATGATGTAAAAAACAGGACTGACAAATAAGCAAAAAAAGAGAGTTAATGTCAGCTACCTATATAAAAACGTTCAACAGGCTGGTAGAAAATTCTGAAAAATACACTCGGGGCAATTTAAATTGAAACTAAGAAGGTGAAGCTACATTTCTAGACACTCTTAGTAGCTGAGACTCTTTGTTTTATACATAGGAGTATTCCATCAAGAAAAATTAAATTGTTGTTTTTTTTTTTTGCGACACTCAGTATTGATAACTCAACAATGATATCTAAAAATGTGATTACAGTTTTGTTAATTTTATATACGAATATAATGCTAAATGCTAGAATAAAACTTTGGTTATTGGAAGATTTTTTAAATTTATCTGGAAGTATTATATTTTTGATACAATTAGGATTTACGTAGGCCGTGCATTGGCATGCAGGTGGATTAGATGCTATTTCTACTAATCCACCTGCAAACTAGAGTTGCTCTAATGCACAGACTTTGTAAATCATAGTGTTCTAGAATAAGCGTAAATCCGAATTATTTGGGTATACTATAAGCCAATGTCGCATCATATTTTTTGGATTGTATTATTAGATAATATAGAAAGGTACTCATTTTAATACATTAATTAAAATGAGGCTTATACCAAAAATATTATGGTAAAATTAATTCTGAATAAGAAAAAGACAACTTATTATTTGCAAAATGAACCAATATATTTCTGACATAGCTACTCTCACAAGCTATTATTTAAGTTACCATTCTTCTCAGATGAATAGTATATTATCTCCCTATCAGTATTGAAATTTCTCATTAGAATTAACATTCGTTTTGTTTTAATTAAAAAAAAGTCTCTATTACATTATAGGTATATTAATTTAAGAATTTAATGTTTATGTTAGGATCAATAGGTTAATGGTTATTTAAAGGTCAGGATATAAATGTGCCTTATGAACATGGCTGATTGATTCTTTGTTACTTGAGTATAAGTACTTCATAATTAAATACTGTTGGTTGTATAACATAAGTGTTGTGTTTTACTTATTAAAGTTTATATTGTTGGTTTGTTCAATAACTTCTTCTGTGATATCTGCCAAAAAAGAGGTTGAAATATTTATAGTACCTACTTGTTAAGAATACTTAAGTATATATTATATTGCGTATAATTCATTGGCTGTGTCAAATTTGCCATAGTAAGTGTTTTGTTCGGAACAAAGCTTGTATTCATTTATTGAGTTACATGACTTTTTGTTCATTCACACATAATACATAATCAAGTTGGAGAATATTGGTATAATGGCAAAACCAATATATTGATTTCCCTCAGAAAACGTGCACGGTTAATTTAATGCATGTCCTTACTCGCACCCTCGTTGTGTGTAATCGAAATAACGTTGCATCAATGACATAATAGAGAGATTTTAAGCCATCATTTTCTGACTAGTCATTATACACTAAACGTTAAATGGGGCATGCGCATTCGGTACAAAATAAGGTATTGCATTATCCCCTATTTCAGTTTTTGAAGCCACTAGATTGTGCTTACGTTGAAAATATCAGTTTTCAAGTTTTGACGACTGCGTCTGCTGTTCCCAATCTCATAATCATACATTTTCTTTCGTTAACGATTATTTTCAGTGATTTTCCTATAATTTCATATACATTTTTGTTGCTGGATAAATACAAGGATGCCACCAAAATTTCGTTAAGTATATATTTTGTGTTTTTCGAAGCAAATATATAATTTATGTAATGTAGATAATGTTTTGCAGAAGCATCCATGTAGATGGACTTCTTCTACTTGTAATTATTTCATTTTTATCTGAAAATCAAATTAATCAACTTAAATTTGACAACGATGTTGATAACATTTCCCTTAATAATGTTGCCCTTATTGGAACATAAATAAAGGAACACAATATCAGTTATTTATATTATCCTCAATTCTCAAGCTATTGCGCATGAGCAGTAAAACGTTTAATGTTTAATGCTGATTTTTCAGCGGCTTAAAATCTCTCTATTAACACAGATAGACATTACAGAAAACAAAATTTTCTGGCGCCAACATCTAGGAGAACAATCCACCACCAATTTAGTTGCCAAATTGTTACGGATTTATATTTTATCCTGTTATGACTTTGTTTCAAAAAGTTGGAGGTTCAAGACTGAAAACGATTACTGGCAACGCCGGTTCTGTAAGGACACACCTGCAATCAATTAGCATGTCAACGCGCCCATCAAACTTACTTCATATGAGTTAGAGGCAGACAGATAGATGCACCGGTGCGCAGTTCTTGATTATTTTGGTCAAGTGAATGACGGGTTCAGAGGGTAATACGGATATTGTTTACACCTATGATGCATCCCTACCATGACCTTCCTCGAGCAGCTCACCTCTCCTGGCCCATGGGTGGTCTTGTTATCACAACAAACATCATTTTATGAATGGGATGCGGTGTCTATCTGTGTTAAGATATCATTGCGTTGCATCGCATTAATTTTTCTATTTTCTACATGCTGTGTTATAAAGTAAGACTTAAGTTATGGAGGTAAATCAACATGACATTACAATATTTCTGGATGGTTTTTTTGTGACCTAACAATGAATTTCGATGGAGTTCTTGGTTGGTGATAGGTCAATCAAACAGCTTAAAGATCAAATTTTGTATGGAGCAACGTTTCGACCAATATATGATCATCTTCAGGATCCTAAAATACATCATAGACAGATTGTTACTAGAGATGGAAAATTCTCGAGAATAATAAAAAAGAGAATATTCTCGAGAATATTCTCAAATTTGCGAATTTTCTGAGAACGTCCTTTCAAACTAATATCAACTTAATTAAAGCCAATTATTACGCAACTATCAGGTTATAAGGGTTAAAAAAAACATAGAAATACCTATTGAAATCGGAAATCCAAGATTGAAATCTAAAATTACGTCTTGACCAATCGGCGCAATCTTTTTTTCTGATGAGACGATGAGCAGTCTATCTTTGTCTAGTATGTTGGAATTTGAAATAACTGACTCACGTCATGAGGATATGATGAACACAAATTCAAATTCTATTCTGGTAACTAGCGAGAGTGACCCCTCTCAAGCCAAAGTCTTAAAACTTGACGTCATCATTTCTGATTTGAAAATGTGAATACAAAGAGCGTCAAGACTGGTGTCTGACTTGAAATCGCCTAAAACTAGGACCTACGCGACGCGGTTAGGTGGAAGAATGTTACCGCAAGAATTTTCTATTAGAGAATATTCTCGAGAAAATTCTCATTCTCGAGAATATTCTCTCGAGTTTATTCTCGTCTCGAGAATATTCTCGCCTCACATCTCTAGTTGTTACAAACAATAAAATAGTACAAAAAGATTTTGAAATAATAAATTAAGGGTCAGAAAGCTATAGGTTTCATGTACAACAAAATGTAGCTGAAATTGTTGCATATAAAAAAGTTTTGTGTTATCTAAGGCCTAATATTAAAATAAATCTAATCATCATACTTACATATAAGTTAAATCCCCTGTGTTAACTTGAAGAAATAATAAAATATAAGGAACATAATGACGGTCATTATGTTCTTATTTGATTCTATCTATCTCTATCTGATTTGATTCTCTAAGTTGTTTTATTGAACTATCACCAACTAAGAACTCCATCTAAAGTAAATTATTTCATTCAGTAGTTTTAGATTTGAAAACAGCAGAATTTTGATGCTGTTGAGTGTTGGGTCGGCCATTCTCATCTTCATCCAATCGGGTGATTTGGATAATGACCATGCAACCATTGTTTGACAGGAAACAACAGAGTTGTACCATATTTTTCAAAGAGAAATTCCAATGTACAGGGTGGTCCAAATTGGACACTTTCTTATGGAAACACCCTTTATTTTTAGAGATAGAAAAAAATGGACCCCCCACTCTGAGGCTCAAATTTCATGAAATTTTGATTGGTGCAAACCGCATTTTGATATATTCAACCGTTTAGGCGCTAGAGGGCGATTCTTGACTTTGAGCAATACTGTAAAGCCTCCATAACTTTTTTGTTTATGGAAATAATTTATTTCCGTAAAGACCTTTTGAAAGCACTTTTTCAAGCAGAATTCAGTGACGTTCTCAGTTTTTTTCTGTCAGGCTTCGATTTCGAGATATTGACCAAAATCCGATTTTTTTCAATAGGACACTCTATATATTAATAGTTCATTAGAAAGCTATGCTTTCGCTGATTTTAATGATACAGGTTTGATAGGTTTATCTTTAACAGTTTTCGAGAAAAAAAATTATTTCGGTTTTTGTCATAAGAAACAATGTGTAAGAAAGAGACCTTTCTCAGTTTCCTTACAGAGACAAAGTCCTTTTCCAACACATTGTTTCTTATGACAAAAACCAAAATAATTTTTTTTCTCGAAAACTGTTAGAGATAAACCTATCAAACCTTGTATCATTAAAATCAGCGAAAGCATAGCTTTCTAATGAACTATTAATATATAGAGTGTCCTATTGAAAAAAATCGGATTTTGGTCAATATCTCGAAATCGAAGCCAGACAGAAAAAAACTGAGAATGTCACTGAATTCTGCTTGAAAAAGTGCTTCCAAACATAAACAAGAAAGTTATGGAGGCTTTACAGTATTGCTCAAAATCGAGAATCGCCCTCTAGCGGCTAAACGGTTGAAGATATCAAAATGCGGTTTGCACCAATCAAGATTTCATGAAATTTGAGCCTCAGAGTGGGGGGGTCCATTTTTTTCTATCTCTAAAAATAAAGGGTGTTTCCATAAGAAAGTGTCCAGTTTGGCCCACCCTGTACAATTAATTAATTGGCGGTCATTGCCTGCTGGTCTGTCACCATTTAAATTTTCCTCCATAAATGACTCATCCACTAATAAGGCGGAGGCATGTGCATAATACTTACTTATCATCCCAAGAACGGAAAAATTGCATTGGATTAGGAGATCTACGAACACTCCCCAGTGGAACAACAGGTAGTGCCTTCCAAGGGTACACTCCTTAAGTTCCTGTGTCACCAATGATCAGCTTTGTTTGTGTTTTAGTTGGCCTTTTGAGGTAATTATGAATTTGTATGTGAATAAATTATAATCTAAAGATATAGATTTGACGTCATATTTAAGCAAGTGTCTGAATGCAGTTTTTGTTGTGTAATTCAATAAATGAAGCCCAAAAAACAAGTTCCACTTGACTATTACCAGGTTGAGGCTTTTTGCTGTGATATCAACATGTGTAAGTTTCTAGTACTGCCCCCTATCCCTATAGGTGTTAAAATTTTACCTTTGAGAGAAACAAGACCAGCCAACAATAGAAACTAAAATCAAACTGCCTCTATTTTAAGGATAAACCTAAACTTTCATGCGCTGCCTTATATAAGTATATAATTTTAATACCTAGACATAGAAAATCTTAGTCTTTAAGCCCTAATTAACACCTATGACTGAATCAAATTGCTTTTCAGAAGCTACACAGGGATAAGGGACAGGCAACTATAACATTCAAAAGTGTCGCTTCGGCGCACGCTTTTTTTAAGAAATACCAGCGACACATGCTCGATCTGTCTATGATTGAGGTGTCGCTGACTCCAGACCAAGACGAACAAGCTAATTAGACAGTTTGTGTGCTATGTTGTCTATTTTAGTTATAAGGTGTGCTATGTATTGTTCAGATGACATTAGAATTTAGTATTTAAAAATAGAGAACATTTCTTTTATAAGATAAAAATTGCTAGGTGGTAACATTGGTAAATGTCCCACAACTATCATCTTTGTATTTTATGGCATTATTTACATAGAAAAATGGTTGGTTAATAAATTTTTTTGAATTTGGAACAGGCACTTTTTTCTACTCTTGTTCCTGATTTTGAGCTCATTGGTGGGTACAATAACTGAACTTTTGTTGAACTGAAACTGTAGATAGAAAGAAAAAGAAGAAGAGGAAGACCGAAGAGAGAAAGAAAATAAAAAAAAAGAAGCCCAAAGCCAGAAGAATTTTGAATTTCAAGGAGACTAGATTCAAACAGGAACAAACCAGACTCAGGAAAATTCTTTAAGTGCGAGATGATAAATGGACGAATGCAATTCCAAAATGTTTAAGGACCCTGAGAGGCATAATACTGCTGATAGTAAGAAGCTGCAGAATAATGGAATCATTTTGGAAATGAATGGTAAATAGACGTGGAAGAGAAAGTGTTTTCGACGGAACTTTCTGTGGTTCAAAGTTCCTATACAAATCGTGTAATATGTAAGTAAGAGTGAATTTGGTAAAGTCAAATTAGCTCAATAAATGTGGTTTTTGTTAGTAAAATGAGTTTTTAGGTGAACAGTATTTTGGTATTGTTCCGTCATAAGCGAATTCATAACGAAGTGGAACTACTTTTCCGAACAGAAATCAATTTTATTTGTATCACGACAAAACTAACAGTACTACAGAACTATATCACTGTAACTAATAGCTTTACCGTCCAATTCGGAACTCTTCTCCGTTCACGTCGTGCGCCGCTTACATACCATTTCAAGACATCTCTTAGATTCTCTAGAATTCGATACATGAAATCCCTAATAGCGCTGTATAATAATTCTCCGGCTAGAATAGTCTTTCAAGTCAAGGCCAAAGTCCTTGAATATTCCAGTCATTAGGCCTACAGAGGTTTGACAAAATGTAGGGGTTGAGATGCTATTTCTGTTATTTTATAACAGGCTAAATTAAACAAAGAGGCATTGCTAATGACAAAAAAAATGCCATAGTGGAAATTACACAATACACAATAAATTCAAAGGACAGACAATCCAATCAACTGCTTCCTAATGAGTAATGCAGTCTCAGCATTCATTTTTATTTCGCTTTTTTGACGTGTCTATGGATTTGTTTTAAAATGCTTGTCTTGTATCAAAGTTAGGGCATTTGCAGATTACAATCGTTTACCAATGTTGCCATATTAGTAATTTAATAGTTTTTAAGGATATATTTTTGTGAAATTGAAATTCTTCGTTTATTGTGGGCTAGTTTTTAATGATTTTATTTTTCCTAAACCAATGCTTAGGCATACTTTATTTGATACGATTTAAGATATATCCCTAGAAGACATGATTTAATCTTAATCTCAAGGTAAATTTAAGTAGGTATTGAATTTTGATAATAGTAACTAAAACAATTTAAATTAAGAATAAATATTTCAAAACTTTTTAAAATTACTTTTTACAGTGAAACTTTGGATTTGTTTTGTACTTTTAGTTATTTAGTGCTATAAGCTAGTTGCTAATTTGTATATTTTACTTACATGTTTTTTTTAGACATTATTTCATAAGAACTGAAAAACTGCTTAGGCAACTAAACTTTTTTGTTTTTTTATAGCATAATCTATTACAGATACGTATTACTTTATACATTGATATTTAGTATGTTACATTTTTCAGTTAGTGTTTTAAGGGTTTTAAACATTATTTTATTTTTGTATGGTGTATGAATGAAAATTTGTTTTTAGTTATTAAACATTTTGAAAGTGAATTGTTGTTTTTTTTTGCACTCGTTGAAGGCTCCTGAGTCCATGCCTTTATCGTAATTTTCTTTTTAGGTCAACTGCTTTTCTTTTATACGCTCAGCCACTTCGGTACGTATTACCGCATCATTTTCGGAAATTTCCGCTGTCAAAAATGCATAATTAACTCCATGTGGTCAGTATCCGAAGAACACCTCATATGGCCATCTTCCTGTCACCGAACTTATGGTTGAGTTACTGCCCCACTTCACCTTGCTTAGTTAGATCACGGTCCCAGTTTTGATCGTCATCTACACTGGCCGTTAGAGCTGAAAGAATAACTCTATTCATTCGCTCCACCTGTTGGCTTGTGGAGACAAGAGCTTGGTGGTAGCCCCGAAACAATTTATATGCGACGTTGCAATTTTTGGCATTTTCATGTTTGGACTGGAATCAGCGCCACGCCACCACAGTTGTTTATTATTATTATCCCGGCCTTTTGAGTGGACACAGAATATAATAATCTTTCGTAATTTGATTATACTGCTTATAATTAAATAAATTGAAAATTAAATAAAATTGAAACTACAAATTTTGTATTTTGAAGCACTGCCTTTTGGTTGGAGTGGAACTGGAAACTCGTTTGTTTTCCTACAGGGCGGAAAATTTTTTCATATCAAATTCGGAAAAAAATAGTTACTTTTCTAACAAGTGCGGGAAATACCATTTCTCGCAAGTTTTTAGTCTAGTACCTACTCAAAACCAAGGAGAATAAACTTTCTAAGGAGTGCTTATCGGCCCCTTTTTGGGTAATCGCCGCCATATTGGTTTTCAAATGTTTCTAACCACTGCTGACGTCATAACTAAGTCGCCAGCTGTTTGCGCCAGCGGTTTTATAAATTTGTCATGAAAAATATATTATTTTGATTCTGATTAACCATTATAGCGCGTAAAGGTACCCTATGACGGAACCAATAAACATCAAGGTCAAAAGTGCGATCTGAGCGCGATATTTCGATATTTGGCTAGCTTTCGTCATTCTGCCTATTTACACGTTTTCAGCATGTATGATTTAATGGAGCCCTAGGAGAATTACGCGGCGTTTTGTTTACATTTCTTTATGTAAGTATAATAACTATAAGATAATTTATTCTATACTATTTAATTGTTTTTAGGGTTTTCTCATATTATTATAAAAACATATTCCTATTCGAGCATAAATTGATCGTTTCTTTATGTATTATATTCTTGTAAACATTACTGTCCCATATGGCATATGGGCCTGGGCAGAAGCTAACATTTTTGCTGTACATTTTGTTTTAGTGGAATTGGCCATCAGGAAGTTTTGAATACTGCTTATGATAATGAAAATGTTGATGGCATATTATTGAGCCCACACAGAAAACAGAAAGCAAAGAGCTCACTGACTAAGATTCAGCAGATGAGGAACGTGGTTTAGCTGACCTATCTACTAGGCAACTTTGTGCTAGTGCAAAAATTGTTTATTCGAATGGGAAATATATCACAGGTAGAGCAGAATTAACAATTTTTTGAGAAATCATACAATTTTAACTTTATTTTTATTTTCAGACATACCCGAGGAAATATAAAGTACCACCTTGCGCTACAGAAGAATATGCTTCGGGCTGCAGCAAGTGATTTTTGAGTCAATAATGATATAAGGTATTATGGACTGCATCATCATTCAAACACTTTTCCTGAACGTAAAAAAAACGATGTGGTGGTCAAAACTGTAGCAGCCGAGGAAGAACAATGTGCCGTAAATGCAATATCGACTTATTTATTCACTGTTCTCGAAAGTTTCACACTGGGTAATAATTTTCACCCATAATGCTGCTCGTGATGATGCAGGCCAAAATTCATTATAATCTATTTCGTTTACCTGATCCGAAATGATTATATCCATACAACAGCCTAACCAGATCTTTTTCTTATATTTTTGTAAACTTTCTACAATAGGACATTGCCAAAAGGGTCTAAAGGCAGGTATGGTATCTCCCTTATAATGTCTGTATTTGAATAACTTGTATATGTAATAAATAAATAAATATTTTATAAATAACTCTTTATTTTTATTTATTAATAGGTGAAAATTAAATTAACAAAGTCAAATAACTTGACCACAAATCAGATTTTTACTCGAACTACCTATAACAATATAATACTGGTAATTAGGATTCAATAAAAACTTTACACGTTGTGCTGTTTGCTCGGCCATTTGTATGTCTATCTGAGAAGAGTTTAATAATTGATTAAAAGTATAACTACATTCATTACTTTTATAGTCTCAATAGAATCTTGATTTCTTTTTCTTTTGGCAAGTTTTTCAGCACCCATGGAATCTATTTTTTGGCTCGGTTTATGGATCACTATAGAAGAGGGCAAATTCTGGGCTGGTACAACTGTTTTTTTCAATATCCGACCTTTACCTGTACCTCTAAGACCTGTACTCTCACCTGTAAATAAAAAAAACAGTCAATATTTTCAAACAAAACATTTTAAAAATAGATAGTACTTGATCAATGCCTAGAAGCAGGCCTAATAAAATGAAGCTAGGGCACAAAACTACCCATTATGCTTGTTTACCTTAACACAAAATTCTTGCTTGAGATGCAGAGAATACACTTTCATGAATTTGGTGACTGGTTATTGCCAATACGAAGTTTTAAAATCCAGTAGGCTTTTCTTCTCGACACTATCTTTTTCCATTTTCGATTCCAAATAAACCTGTGTGGCCTGTTTCAAGGGGAAATATGTAGAAACTCAATCCTTTGTCAGCTTTTTTTTTTTTAGCCCAAGACTTGCACTGAGGAACACAACAGTAATGATTAAAAGTCATGATTATATGTATCTGATAAAATTTTATAATTTTAGACTTTAATTATACTAGAAACTAGTTTCATAATTTCCAGCCAGCAGCCAGATCATAACATAACCTGTGGTGCAAACAGCCTACGTCAAGGCGAAAAACGCCATGATGCTTACGTCACAACTGCTTTTTTGGCTAGGCGAGGAAGGGGGGGATTTGTTACACACAGGCCTTATGAGGATAAGCCATCCTTAGTAGTATGTATCATCCTTGACTCAAAACAGCGAAATTCGTTCTTTTTTGACATTCCTTCGACAATTTGACGTTCTATGCGTGAACCAAACGTCAAATTGTCGAAGCAATGTCGAAAAAGAGCGAATTTCGCTGTTATGAGTACTAGGCTTAATAAGGAACACAATTTTTCTCAAGGGTGTGCATGTCAACAGTTTTTTTTCCGCACATTCGTAGGAGAAAAACGGATCATCTTAGTTTCAGGTGTCCAGAAAATGGCAGAGATTATCCTGTCTTCAATCCCTAGTAGGACTGCTTATTGAGCTGAAAGTGTTTGTCAGCGGCTATGTCAGCTGTATGGGTACTTCAACTCTTGGAGTAAAATGCATTATTCGAGTTTAAAGCACACAAAAAAATGAATTCTTAAACGTTAAAATCTTGTTAAAATCACCTTTTCTACATTTAAAATCGACGAAAAAATCAAATAACGAGCACAGCCTGAATCGCAAGCCTTCCATCGAGGTCTGCGGGCGACGTCATCACTATTGTCAGCTGTGGCGACGTCACCCGCAGACCTTGCCGCTCAAGAATTGGTGGACGTACGCCTTATTAGGACGAGTAATCCTGTTTACGATTGTCGTATAAAAATGTCGAAAATCCCAACAAAATCCTAATCTTTGATTGCACAAACAAACTAGCATCTGCAAAAAGTTTTTCTGACCATTGAAAAATAGACAATTCTCGTCAAAATAGCTATTTATACAATAAGTTACGAAATGAGCGTCTTTTAGGCACGCGACGTGAAAATTGTCCAACGAGGCAAAGCCGAGTTGGACAACACGTCGAGTGACTAAAAGACATCGTTTCGTAACGTATTGTATACAAGATTTTTTCTACTGGCATTTTATAATAAAAAAACACAATTTTATTTCATGTGAATAAGTCGATTACACCCAAAATCTTTGTTACCTGCTTTTACTTGACACCTGACACTTTTCATGCGATTTTCTTTTCAAAATTCGACATCAATAATTAAAATCCTAGAAAGTAGGTAATAACACAAAGTTCTGTTTTGAGTAACCCAAACGTTCAATTCAGTAATTCCATTTTCAATATTCATAATAAATACAAAACAAAATTCAAATATGTGTTTAGTGTGTTTTTTATTTCTGAATAATGAATGACACTTTTAGGCACTAGTGCTTAAAAATTACTTTTACGCACTCATAAGTCACTTTTACGCATTCAAAAGTCACTTTTACGCACTGAGTGCCTAAAAGTAACTTTCACGCACTCAGTGCCTAAAAGAATGTCGTTTCAAAACTGAAATGACAATCGAAAAGTTGCTATTATGAAACGTCAGTAGAAAAATCATTTTCTGTAACTTGAAAACATTACCTACAAATTTTAAAAACTGGTTTTCGTCACTCGTTAAACAATAAACATTGTCCGCACCTGTTAGGAACATCTAACCCAAACAAAATAATATACTTTGACGTCAATTTGGCAACGCAACACTCCTTGCCTTTTAGAATTGTTTTGGCGCTACCACCCAATGACCTATTACACAGCCCTCTACACTTACAAGCCATGAAGTTAAAAAGGCAACACCGCAATCTTACCGCCAAGTGGTAGGAGGAATTTAATTGTCAGACACCGATCCCTATAATACGCATGCGCGATTTGCGATGTTGCCTAATCTACCTTGTCTCCTTGTCAATAAGAAATATTTTTTGGGTTATGTTATTTTTATTTTGTTTTTAATGCATTTTTCCAAGATTTTTTCAGTTGGTTCATTGGTTGTGCTTTCCAATCCAGTGATTTTAAAAGTTCTCAGCTAAAAGTTTTGAAATAATCTAAAAATAGAATAAATATGGTTTTACCGTGCGTTCATTGTCAAAAAACTTTCAAATTTCGTAGCAATTTAAATAGGCATCTCCATGTTGTTCATCATGTTGAAGAAGCCGG